AGAGCCCCAGGACGGCCCGAGAGAGCCCTCCTCCTCCTCCTCCCCCTCCTCCTCCTCCTCCTCCTCCTCCTCCTCCTCCTCCTCCTGTGGGGTCAGGCCTGCTGCGGGCTACGGGTCCATGGTCCTGGGAATGTCCGATCAGGAACTCAACGGTCTCAGGAGCGTGCTGCTCTCAGGTCTTTCGCCAGCGCATAGAGGTGCGTCGCTCACGGCAAAGGTTTGTATTCATGGAGATCCTGCATGGCTTTAGGCGACGGCACCTGCCAGACAATGGTCGACCAGTTTGTGGAGAAGTCTGACGACGCCGTCCACCAGCCCTTTCTCTTTCAGGGATCACATCAGGCACTGGAGGAACCTCGAGGCTCAGGAGTTACGTCTGGGACCAACTGAGTGGAGGAATTCTCGGGGACCAGGTCATCGAATGCTTCTGAGTTTAGACCGCATAGGCTGGAAGGCACTTAGTTTTAGTAGGTGGCAAGATGATAAGGGCAATGTTGTTGATTTGTTATACCACAGCCCAGCCATGGTTGCCAGCCTTTTGCAGTCAGGAGTTCAGAGATCCCACGAGAGGCGATTAGCGGCGAGTCTCCCCTCGTTTGATGGTGTGCGTGTGTGTGTGTGTGTGTGTGGACCCCCTCCGCTCCCTCCTCCGCTCGAAGCGAACCCCGCCGCGAGCAAAGTATTGGATCTGCTCCTGTTTTCCAAATGGCTGCTGGACGGCAGACCGTTTGCAAGAGTCAGGCTACATTTCAGACGGCCTTTGTCCCAAGTGCGGCCAACCTGACTCTATTTTTCACAGTCAGTGGTTATGCGATGATCCAGAGGTTGCAACGGCCCGCAGCGAAGCCGTTGAGCCTAATCTGATCGAGGCTGCCCGTAATTGCCAGCCCGCAGAGAGATTGTTTTGGTCTCGGTTGATAATGGCCCAGCCCGATGATGACTCCTTCCCCCCCTCGGTGGCGTCGGACCCCCTCCTCCAGGATGCGAATGGGCAGCCGTTGTCTCTCGAGGAGTTTGTAGAACGGAGTGAGAGCTGCGACTTAGTGGTCGACGGCTCGGCCACCCAGTACCCAATTTTAGAACTCAACCGCGCTGCTTTCGCGGGAGTTTATTTCGAGCCAGGGGGTGTTTACCAGGTTCGGACCCGTTTCATGGCCACTGTGTGGCCTGTGTTGCACCAAACGCCCCAGGCGGCCGAAAACTTGGGCCTGGCCACTGCTTGTGCTTTTAGCTCGGGCATGAGTTCCCCTTTCAGTGATTGCAAAGGGGCCGTGCGTCTGCATAATCTCTCGGATGAGGCGCAGCTCTGCCCGCAGGAAATGTTTGTTGGTTTCCGTCGTGCTGCGCAGCAATCTCCTGGATTTGATGCCCTGGGGGAGGCCCAGCATACGCCCGCCCATCGGTCGGATGCTATCATACAGGCCCTCCCCCCAGACCAGAAGCGAATAGCCCTTGCTAACCAGGACGCTGATCGCCTGGCTAAGCACGCCCTCTCGCTTCATCCTCAGCCTGCACCTGCTGATCTGGAGAGGCTGGATAGGCAGGTGCAGGACCTCCGTACGTGTGCGCTGATGTTCGGGAAGGTGCTCTCTCTGTTTCCTAAGCTGCACTTCGAGAGACCCCCGAGGGAGAAGAGGTTGCCTAGAGTTCCCCCCTTGCCTGATTGGCATGATTGGGAGGAGTTCAGTGGTGACCGACCCGCTTTCAGATGTAAGAAATGTTTTCAGGATTTTGTTTGAGGGCGAGTCCCGCCCGATGAATGGTTGTGCTGGTTTGTCCACGGGCCTGAGGCGCCTCCAGGGTGCTGAAACCGAGAGACAACACAAGTTGGGTTTTGCTATCCTGCACAAAACCCAAAGACCGCTGTTTTTTTTTTCTGTTTTGCCTGCGGAGCATACACCAGCAGGCGGTGTTTCTTGCTTGGCCAGACCTGTTTCAAGAAGCTGAGCTCTGCGGGAGTTCAGGCGCTCACAAGACTTCAGTGTGGCCTCCACCCACATTGCACAAAGAATCCTGAGGGTGATGATTTGCTGGCGCCTGCTAGAACGCCGTCGAAGTCGGTGCTTCTTGCCCCTCCAGGCCCTCTAGCTGCTGGGTCGTCTCGCTTGGTCGACTCTGACCGACTGCGAGCGCTGGCAGCCCGAATCCAGGCCAAGAAGGAGGCATCCAGGCGATAGCTGCTGCCTGAAGCTGACGTTTTGCCGCAAGGTCGTCCCGTCCTCCCCCTCCTCCTCCTCCTCCTCCTCCTCCTCCTCCTCCTCCTCCTCCTCCTCCTCCTCCTTCTCCTTCTCCTCCCCAGGAGCCCCTAAATGGACCCCAAGAGCCGCCGACGAGGGTTCACGGAAAACTCCGAGACTGCCCACTTGCCCCAACAAGACGTCCCAAAATGGCCGTCCAGACGGCTCGCGGCGGCCAAAAATCGTTGATTGCGTGATTGTTGTTGCCTGATTTCCAGGTCCTCGCGATTTCGAGTTAAGAGCGGCCTAAGACGGCTCCTGGCCCCCCCACGGCTGCACCAAGGCTGAAGAGGCTCCGACAAGGGCCCCAGGACGGCCCAGGAGTGTTCAAGACGGCCCCTGGAGGACCCCAAACGGCCTGGAGCGACCCAGGACGGCTCGAGTCAGCCCCAGGAGCCCCCGGACAGACCCCAAAAGCCACCCAAGAGGGCTTGCAGAGAGCTCCGAGACGGCCCAACGCCCCAAATATGGCCCCTACACGGCCCCAGAGGCCGTCGAGACTGGCCGCGGTAAACGAAATCATTTGTGTTTCTATGGTTTTCGAACGATTTCCACATTCTCTCCATTTCCAGCCAAGGCCAGCCCAAGACGGCTGCTGGAGCTCCCCCGAAAGCTCCAAGGCCGTCCGAAGAGGATCCAGAAAAGGCCCCACAACCACCACCCAGGAGGGCTCCAAGATGGCCCAGGAGGCGACCAAGATGGCCCAAGAACCGCCAACGACGACCCCACGACAGCTTGAGAGGCGACCAAGACGGCCCAGAACGGCCCAAGATTGCTGATAATTCGCCTAAGACGGTCCCAAGTCTCCCTGAACACCCCATACGAGGCCCGAGGATACCTCCGAGCGGCTCCGAGCCTGAGAGGCTTCCAAACTGCTCCCAGAGAAATGAGGCGGACGACAGTGTTCAACGCTCCAAGGGCCCTGCATGCTTCTGTTCGGGGGGGCGCTGTCGTAAGACCCACTCTGAACACGCTAGATGACGGGGGCGAAGTCCACGGGGTCGCCCCAGTCAGCTACAACGCAGGGATCAGCGCGTTCGGGAAGGGCGAGCAGTGGCAGCGGGCGCTCGCGCTGCTCAACGAGATGGGGGCGGCGAAGCTGGAGCCCGACGTCTGCAGCTGCAGCGCCGCGATCAGCGCGTGCCAGAAGGGCGAGCAGTGGCAGCGGGCCCTGGCGCTGCTGACTGATATGCGGGAGGCGAAGCTGCGGCCCGACGTCAGCTGCACTACAGTTCTGGCCGTTGCGCGCGCGAGATGCGCCAGCAGCGCGCCAGCTGCCCCCGACCGCCCAGAGCGCCCCGCCGCTCCCCGACGGCTCTCGAGAGGCCCCGGGTGGCTACAGCGCGGCCTCAGGCAGCCCGACCTGTGCATGCTTTTTTCACTCGGCGTCTCGACACTGGGGCGGGAGGGGGGATAGGGGGGGGGGTCTGGCTCCGGCCCTCTGCTTCATGCGACTGTGTTGGAATAGTTCGTCCTATGGAGGAGGCTCCACCTGCTTGGAACAGGCGCCACCAACAGCCAAGATCTACTCCATGGGGGGGACTGGGGGTGCGAGGGCCCGCGCCGATCGGCAAAACAATGAATAATAGAACAACTAGTTACTGCTCCGAGACGCTCCGGAGGGCGCGAGCCCCAAAATGGGCCCCGAGGGGCTCTGGAGAGACCCCTGCGAGGGCTCGAAGTGTGGCCGACGGGAGCCCAGACGACTCCCTTCCCACAGCCCCCATTGCAATGGTCCAAGAGCCCTCGAAGGACCACTCCCACATGCCCCAGAGTCTCCCAAGACCCTCGGGTGGTTCTCAGGGAGCTCCCCAGAAAAGAGAGCCTCCAGCCACGGCCCCCTCTCGCCGTCTCTCGAGCCCGAGCCGCCCCCAAGAGAGCCCCAGACCCCCAAGGCAGGCCCCAGACCATTTAGAGGATGCCCCAGATCCTCCCAAGAGTTGACGTCGCGCGTGACATCTCGCCACCAGCAGTGTTTCGCAAGTGTTGAGCGTGGCCGGCACGCGGGTACGGGAGACTGTTCTGGCAGGGCCTCGGGGTCCACCTCACGGACACGGTGAGGATGCCACTGTGTTGGCGGGAGCTGCTCTGCTGGTGCTGTGAGAAAAAAATCCTCCCAAGAGACTCCGATGATTCCAACGGGCTCCGATAGTCCCCAAGGAGCGCCCAAGAGCGGTCCTAGGACCACTCCGAGATGCCCCAGAGTCGCCCACACGACTCCGACGCTTGCCAAGAGGCTCCGACAGTTCCCAAGGAACTCCCACGAGCGGTTCCAGGAAGAGACTCCCATAGTTTCCACGGAGCTCCCAAGAGCGATCCCAGGAACACTCCGAGATGGCCTAGAGTCGCCATCAAGACCTCCCCCCTAAGGCAGATGAGGGGTGACAGGGGGGATCTTCTCCTTTGGTCTACTCATCCTCCCTCATCGAGACTCTGGTCGCTCTGGGGCCTCCACTCCCCCTGTTCGGGATGACAGGGGTGACCTGCAGCCACTTCGGTCGATCCCCCGCTTTGGCAGATTAAGGCTGACAGGGGGGGGAACCTGCAGACACTGCGCGGGCCAGCATCTCGCTGCCCCCCTACAGCCGATTATGGGTGACAGGGGGGACCTCCCTCGTCGATCCCCAGATCCCAGAGCCTGCAGTAAACCCGAGAGCCTGTCCGCGTCAAGCGCCTGCGTGTCGCCTGCGATCGACGTCACGTGCGCGCTCGGGACCAACACCTCGACCTTCCACCCGCGGATTTTCCATGGGCTCACACTAGTCTCCCACACCGCTGCGATCAGCGCGTGCGAGAAGGGCGAGCAGTGGCAGCGGGCTCTGGCGCTGCTGAGCGAGATGCGGGAGGCGAAGCTGGAACCCAACGTCGTCAGCTACAGCGCTGGGATCAGCGCGTCCGAGAAGGGCCGGCAGTGGCTGCGGGCGCTGGCGCTGCTGAGCGAGATGCGGGAGGCGAAGCTGGAGTCCAACGTTGTTTATGCTGCAGTTCTGGGAGAGGTGCGGGCGAGAAGATGGCCAGGAGCGGGAGAAGGACGCACACGCACATGAGTCCACGTTGGTTTCGAGGGTGCGCCTCGCGCGAACGCTTGCATCACGCGGCTGGTCTCGCGGACTTGGGGGCCGTGCTCGCCTGGCCGCCCCCCGCGCGCTCTCCTCGGCTCGCCGCGTGCGGGTGCTCCCGCGTCCCTCCCCCGCCCTCGGCGGCCGCCTTCTCTCCTCGTTTCTCCCCCCTCCTGCGTGCGGGCTGGCTCGCGACGCCGCAGCCCCTGTGCTGCTGCTCGCGCGAGCGGAGGAGGAGGAGGAGGAGGAGGAGGAGGAGGAGGAAGAGGAGGAGGAGGAGGAGGAGGAGGAGGAGGAGGAGTGCCTCTGCCGCGCCGCGGCGGGACGTGCACGCGGTTGGGCGCGTGCGTCCCCTGTGGGCTCCTCCCCACGAGGGGCGAGCAGGGCGGTGGCCCTCGCGCGCCCTCCCCGGGCGCTCCGCGCGGGCTCCATCGGCGGCGAATCGAGCCCCGTGTGCGTACGCGTGTGTGTGTGTGTGTGTGTGTGTGTGTGTGTGTGTGCGTACGTGTGCGTGTGTGTGTGTGCGCGTGTGTGTGTGTGTGTGTGCGTGTGTGTGTGAATGTGTGTGTGTGTGTGTGTGTGTGTGTGTGTGTGTGTGTGTGTGTGTGTGTGTGGGTGTGTGTGTGTGTGTGTGTGTGTGGGGGTAAGCGTGTGTGCGTACGTGTGCGTGTGTGCGTGTGTGCGCGTGTGTGTGTGTGTGTGTGTGTGAGTGTGTGTGTGTGTGTGTGTGTGCGTGTGTGTGTGAATGTGTGTGAATGTGTGTGTGAGTGTATGTGTGTGAATGTGCGTGTGTGTGTGCGTACGTGGGTGTCTTTGTGCGTGTGTTTGTGTGTGTGAATGTGTGTGTGAATGTGTGTGTGAGTGTGTGTGGATGTGTGTGTGTGTGCGCGCGTGTGTGTGTGTGTTTGTGTGTGTGTGCGTTTGCGTGTCTGTTGTGTATGTGTGGGTGTATGTGTGTGTGTGCGTGTATGGGTGAGTGCGTGTATGTGTGTGTGCGTGCGTGCGTGTGTGTGTGTGTGGTTGTGGTGTGTGAATGTGTGTGAATGTGTGTGTGTGAGTGTATGTGTGTGTGAGTGTGTGTGTGTGTGTGTGCGTGTGTGTGTGAGTGTGTGTGTGTGAATGTGTGTGTTGTGAGTGTGTGTGAATGTGTGTGTTTGTGCGCGCGTGTGTGTGTGTGTTTGTGTTGTGTGTAGGTGGGTTTGAGTGTGTGTGTGTGTGTATGTGTGTGTGGTGTATGTGTGTGTCCGTGTATGCGTGTTGTGTGTGCGTGTGTGTTTGTGTGTGTGTGTGTCTGTGTGTGTGACTGTGTGTGAATGTGTGTGTGAGTGTATTTGTGTGAATGTGTGTGTGAGTGTGTGTGTGTGTGCGTGTGCGTGTGTTTGTGTGTGTGAATGTGTGTGTGAATGTGTGTGTGAGTGTGTGTGAATGTGTGTGAGTGCGCGCGTGTGTGTGTGGGTGTTTGTGTGTGTGCGTGTTGCGTGTGTGTGTGTGTGTATGTGTGTGCGCGTGTATGTGTGTGTGTGCGCGTGTATGTGTGTGTGTGCGTGTATGTGTGTGTGCGTGCGTGCGTGTGTATGTGTCTGTGTGTGAATGTGTGTGAATGTGTGTGTGTGAGTGTATGTGTGTGAATGTGTGTG